TACAAAATACAATAATAAAAAATTAAAAAATATAATAATATAAAATATACATGCATATATTTATATATAAACTTGACAAGTATGTGTATGTGTATTTTTTTATCAGAAAAGAAAAAAAATAATTTGTTTATAGAAAATCTTTGCAACAGTTATGATTTCAAAGTGAGAAACATAATAATATTACATGGAAGCTTTCACTGGTTGTACCATGTAGTGAAACGTATATTGTGTTTAATGATCTATTATCTAATAGAAACAATAGATTCGACGTTGTCAGTGCATCGCGTTTACTGTCTATCAACAGAAATTCAGTTCCGTTTAGTTTGTCGTTATCTAAACGCGTTCGATATAGAACTATACTACATATATTATAGTAAATACTAATATATATTATATATATATATATATATATATATATATATATATATATATATATATATATTATATATATATTATATATATATATATATATATATATATATATATATATATATATATATATATTATATATATATTATATATATTATATAGGGGAGGTCTTGCAAAGAAATAAAAGATTGAACTTTAAGGGAGAAATAAATTCATTGTTTAACGAAAGATGATTATTTGTTTTAGCATATGAATTGAAATAATAAATGTTGAAACTATAAAAAGTTTAATGATAGTAAATAAACCGTAAAACCGTTTCATTGTTACGAATGATTTGATAGTTTTGCGAACGCCTCGTGTTATGTGATTTCTACCAAATAGCTCACCAATTGTAGATATTATTTTCCCTGAAATGACAGTAATCAATGTTAAAGTTAAATTTAACGATACTGTGGGGGATACACACCCATTGGATAAATAATATTATTATCATCTGCAAGTGTCGTGAACAATATGAAAAGAGATATACCAATAGTGTTTTTTACTCCTATATCTATATATATTAGGGTGGGTCAAAAAAATCAATTATTTTTTTTTTTTACAAGTGACACGGAAAAATGGGTTGCTAGACACCTTAAAAAAATTCTCATCAAATATGAGCTCTTAATTTTAATAGGAAGATCCTCCGTCCGTATCGCAGTATTTATTTTTTTCTCAGTCCAATAGAATAAAATTCATATCTCATTATTTATTGATTGTACAGAAAAATGTTCTAGAAGAATTTTGTAGAAAATTTAATGCTTTACAAAAAAGGTATCCTATATTTTTTCCGTAAACCTCACCATTTGAATGATATTAAAGATTTAAGTTTGATTATTTTAAGAGAAATTTCATGTTTGTTTATGAATTTTATAACTCGACAATAAATAACTATTATAAAATGCGCAATACAAATTTTTGTAGGAAATGAATTGCTCTATAAAAATAGTGTTTTATGTTTTGGCGATAAAATTAAGCGTTCAAAAGATATTCATAATCAAACTTTCATGTGTACTGATTTCTGTCTCTGAATACTACATATATATATATATGATATATGATATATGATATAATAATAATTATTTTATTTTTATTTAATATAATATATAATATTATTATGATAATGATTATTTTATTTTAATATTTATAAAAAAATTTTATTTTAAATATATATATGTAATAATATGTATATAAAAGAACATGTGTGCATATCACACAAATTAGAAGTGAAACCTTTAAATATAATACAAGTTTCGCGAGGATAATTTATTATATAATATTTTGTCCATTTTTATAATAATTACAAAGAAAGTAGATAATAAAACAATTTTAAAAATGTTTGCAAATTAAATATTTTTATAAACAATGATGATTTATAAATAATCATATGTTTAGTCTCTTTTTCTCTTCTAACGTAGTATTAAGACCGTTTCTTTCCCCCACTACATCACGGCGTTTCATTTTTTCAAATCACACCCATTTCTAAAGAAGTTTTCACTTCGATAATATTAATTTAATAATATTAATTTAATAATATTAATTATATATATGATGTTATAGGAAAAAACGTGTGTTGTGTCTTGTCAATAACATTCTTAACGATGAAATGAAAAATTATGTATTTCATAGAATTTCCTATTTAATTTCATATTATTTTCTACGACTTTAATTAATGACAAATCCATTAATAAATATGAATAAAAAGTTAATAATCTACGAAAAAAAAAAAATAAGAAGAAGAAGACAAAGAAGGAAAAAGAAACGTAGAAAAAAAATACAAATACATACATGCACATACATATACATTGTACACACAGAGAGACAGATATATTCTCTCTTATTCGATATTATTATCTTTTATCCGTAAAAGATAATAGTCGATAAGAGTAAGAAAGATGGAAAGAAGGATCGTAATAACGACCTAACGAAACGATTCTTCTTCGTGAGATCGAATGTGCTTTACAGACACTGATGACTCTATTTCGTAGATACGTCGTCGATTGGCGATATCCTCTTTTATCGTGCACCGATAAACTGTGAAATAGGGCTGACTTCTACGACTCGGTAAGAGGAATGAAAAGCTTAAAACAGTTTCTGCTTCTACCTACTTCTTCTTCTTCTTATTCTTCTTATTCTTCTTTCTTATTTCCTTTATCTTGGAAGCTAGTAAAGAATATATACTATAGATATATATATATATGTAATCTTTCTACTACCTATCTATATATACATATATATATATCGACTTTTGCTATCACTATAGTCAAGGCCATTCGAGCGTTTTCCGATAGTAGCCAAAGAATCAAACTAGTTTAATACACCTTGCTGTGAGTAGAGTGCTATCGATCTATATACGAGGTTAACCAAAGAATGAATGTGAATACAAAAAAAATATTTGGTATATATATATAGATTGGTATATTGTTATTTTTTTTTAATGTTATATATTTTATATTTTTATTTCATATATATATTAGTATATTGGTATGTTGGTATATATATACAAAAATATATTTTTTATATTATATATTTTATATTTTTATTTTATATATATTGGTATTTTGGTATATTGGTATATTGGTATATTGGTATATATCTATACCAAATATTTTGTTCTATATTATGTATTTTATATTTTTATTTTATATATATATATATATATTAGTATATTGGTATTTTGGTATATTGGTATATATCTATACCAAATATTTTTTTTTTATATTATATATTTTATATTTTTATTTTACATTATTAAAATATTTTTATTATATACTAGTATATATATTTGATATATATTTGATATATATTTGGTATATATTTGGTATACCAAACATTATTTTTTTATTCATATTCATTCATACACACATATCTGTATATATATTAATTTCCAATAAATTTCCTACCTAACACAATTACAAAATTGATCTTTTTACTTCATCATACTGTTTATACTTCTATAAACACGTTGATCAATATTATAATCCTTTTTTTCAAATATAATACATTCTAATCGAAATATGCTAATCACATGTGTGAATTAATGTTAACGATTAAATAGAAAAATCTGTTTCTCTTCTTTTTGTTCTTTTATTCTTCTCACTCTCTTTTTCTTTCTCTTTCTTTCTTTTTCTCTAATACAAACGTTATTAACCTAACGACGGTTCGAAGTTTCAATTTGGAATTGGGTCGACGTTGGTGCCGATTGGAATATTTTCAATTACTTGTCCACACAATCCTCGGCCGCATCGGCAATTCTCCGAGTGATGTGACTACCCGTGCAAATTCCACTCTGACCGGTTCGTTGTAATATACATGTACAAACGACGTTGAGAAACCTAATGTTATGTTACGATACATGTGTATGTATATATCTCTAGGAAGTCCGAGAATGTGTTTCTGCCCTGTCGAAGCCGTAATAATGAAATTGTATCTCAACACCGTAAACTCTACTTGAAACATTTATGTAACATTTGTTCAAAAAAAAAAATTAAATATACATTTGTTTCTAAAAATATTTAAATAATTTATTTCAATTATTATTTTTCTTATTACAAGAATCCCTTCCTACGCGAATTAAAGTGGTTCATTAAAAATATTAAAAGTGCGCCTGAATATAGGCAACACATTATACTTGGTCGATAAGGTCACTCGCTACATAATAAAATTAAAAAATATTTTCCATTGATAGATGGCGTTAGTAAGCAGTAATACTAACTAGTATAAAGTGATGCCTATCTCCAGGTGCAATGTTTTTATTTAAATTAAATATTAATTATATATTAATTTAAATATAATAAGATATTGAAAGTAAACGAATTCAATTTCTTTATTTTTATTTTTATCAAAGTGGTGAAGAAAGTGGTCAGGAAGTGTGTTGATTTTTTTACAGTTCATTGGATTCATTGGCGATATTCCAAAATAACTGGACTGCAGCATTTGCAAATGTATGGTTCTTGTATTAAAGATATTACATACATGTATAAATGCATATATACATGTGTAACATGCATAGAAGACTTTTCTCGAGTTTCTTCTAAACTCACTGAACTTTGTTTTTACAGTCGGCATCTTTTATCTGTAATTTATGCTCACCGTAGTTTCATTTAAAACCGTACACCACAAGATACTTTTCAACCGAGATACGAATCTGTAACTATTACATGTATTAAAATAATGTAATTAAAAAAAAAAATTGTATTCTATATAATAAATATATTTTTAAATATTTATAATTTTTTTTTTTTAGAAAATTTTACAATGTTTTTTATATTATTTTTTATCTATATATTAATTTCAATCCAATAGAAAATATAATTTAATTATTAAATGTAAATTATTTAATATTAATATTTAATTTAAATAAATAATTATATAGATATTAATATTATATTAAAATAATTATTATATATAACAATTTAAATTAATTTTAAAATGATATACTAAAATTATATATATATATATATATATATATATATATATATTTGACGACGACCTGTTAGTTAAAAATTCATCAACGTTTTTAAACGCAATGATACTCTCTCGTACACGAATGTTTTTATTCAAATAAAATAAAATAAAATAAAATATTTATATGAATTAAAATGCATGGTAATAATTTAAAACGATACTTTAAACTATCATGAAAATGTTTACGTATATGTTGACGATAGAGATTGAATAAATGTTATCTATTCGAATTTGCAACATTCAATGGATTTTGATCAAAACTCCTACACAAAATAGTACACTCGGTAAAGTTAATATTTTTAATAACTTTCGTGTTCTCCATTTATCATGTAATATAAAATATCGTTCAGTTGTACCACAAAGTCGAGGATTAATTAATGAATTTCATTTTCTTTTTCTTTTTTTTTCTTTCAATTTTTTTTTTTTTTTGGTTCGTTTGGACACCTACGTTTTTTTTTTTTTTAAAGGAGAACTGTTCATTTCAATTTAAACGATACTTCCATGTTGTGACCCGATAAATCGTGTACCTTATATGAAGTCATTTTTAATGAGAAGGAACATAAAAAAAACATAATTTACACTTCTTCTTCTTTTTTTTTTTACCTTTACCTTTTTTTTGAGATACTTCCTCCTTTCTCTCTTCGTTGCATTTTTTCATTTTGTTGTCTTCTTTCTTACCTTGAAAGAAAAGCGTTAAGAGTTCAAGCAATATACCTGCGTTCTTTTTTTCTTTCTCTCGAGGGAATATGTACGATGTTGGAAAAATGTTTCATGGTAATGGTATAACATAGGTCTTGAGTTTACTTTGATATTCTTCCACAAGAATAAAATGTCCTTTTTAGAAACATACCTAAGAGAATAATATATCAAAATTTGTTACAAAGGTTTGTTTACATATATATATATATATATGTTCTTAAAAGACAAATATATTTTCAATAAGAAAAAGTTAATTACCATGAGATCTATGATGTCAGCATCTATCGTAACCATAAAGATTAATGTTACGATAAAATGTGATATAAAATGATGGTGGTCGAATCTCTGGAACAAACAAAACACAAAAAAATCTATTAAAAATTATTATTCTACGTATAAAATATTTATCGTATTTTATTTTTAGTTTATTTTATTTTTTTTTTTTCATTTCATTTCATTTCTTTTGTAGATGACATTTAAATGCATGTGAAAGACTTGAAAAATTAATTACCCGTGCATCATTTTGACAAGTGAATAATGCGATATGCTAAATAAAAGGTTTTAAGATGGAAAACAATGAAAGCTAAAGCTTCCTGACCCGTTTAATCACCCGTAAGCTGTTATATATTTAAATGAATTTATTTAAATAAATACATAAATGTATATATTTTAATAAATACATAAATATATATATATGACAATTATATGAATAATTTTATGGAATGATAATAATCAAATTGGTTTCTCTGTAAGAGAAGAGAGAGAGAGAGAGAGGTTAGGTTTTATTAGCTATTTAAAATCGTATATTTTATTATATTTAATTTACCTGTAAATAGAAAAACGATAGTTAAAAACTATTATCGGCTACTTTTTATGTACACTAGTCCAATTAATTAATTAATTATTTAAATTTTCTTATCCTAATATTATTTACCTTTCTTGATCTATCTCTCTAGCTGTCACTGATTGATCGATTGATTAATCGATTAATATCGATCACTCCATGCCTCTTCCTAAGAGTGCGCGGGAAATTCAAATGAAAGAAAATATACTTTTCTTTATATATATAGATACTATTTTATATTATATATTATATTATATTATTGTTTATATTTATATATTATTTATATATATTATTATTATATATATTATATTATTGTTTATATTTATATATTATAATTTATTAAATTTTATTATATATATTTAATATATTTTTTATTAAATATATAAATATATATATAAGACTAAATTATTTTAGGAAGAAAAAGAAGATAAATAAAAGAATGTATTAAATTCCTAATAAAAATAAAAAATAATTCTCTCGAGATTATTCGCTCTTTTCGGGCGTAATATAAAATATATTACTTTTCTATCTTCTCTATCGCGATTACTTTCTCTTATATAATAGCATTCAGATTTTTATGAAAGATTTCAACGAGTTTTGAAAATGTAAAGTACCTTTCTCTACAAGTAGATGCGAAAAGATATCAACTATCTTTATTCGATGGATTTATAGACTGGTAAAAGCAGAGAATAAAAATGACGCGAGATATTCTCGAGAGACCACACAGGTATTTGCCCCCATAACTATTTTCATGACTCCCCATAAAATAATCTCCATACCAAGGCATATTAATATTGAGAAACCACGTATGCGATGAGTTATGCATGATTTCCTCTGCAATTTCTTCAGGTTAGTACTTGAGAGGTGATGGAAAATTAAAATATATCATCAGAATTAAAATAGAACAGCTAAAAATTAATATAATATATTAAATTAATTAAAGTTTCACATTTCCTTCTTTCTATATATTTTTTTCTTTTTTTTTATCACACAATCATTTACCACGTTATGAAATAAAATTAAAATATAAGAGGTAGAAGAAAAATGAATAATTACCAAAACCAATGAGAATATTCAAAGTAATATCGATTACTCAAATAGCAAATGTAAATGGCTGCATACACTCAAATCCTATACGTATAATAACAATATAATTTTATTATAATTTTACATATATATGTATATATAAACGTATAATATATAATAGTATATATATTTTCTTTTTTAATTAACATATATAATGTAAAAACGTTTTTTACTAAATTTAATATAAATTCGTTATATGTTCTCCACATAAAATTTTATAAATAATGTATCACTAAGGATACACAGGAAACTTTATTTTGTGTATATTCTTCTGAAATATAATAATATTTTAAACTTTATTTAAAATTTTATTTAAAATTTTATTTTAATTTTTATTTTAGTATATTATTCTTTTTATCATTAGTTTCCTTTTGATTGCCGGTGTAATATATTGAATCTAAAAATGATTTGACAAAATCACCGACCACTGTTCTATCTGGTATGCCTTGACTCATTCCATACATTGCCAACTTAAACAAAATATAACATATTCATTATTAATACTATTATTCTATATCTATTGATAATATAATGCTTGAGACTCACTTTTCCTTCAACTGGAAGATCTGGGATTTTTAATATATTTTCTAATTCAGTTTTAACGTCATTTAAAAATTGATCTGCAACACCTGGCTCGGTATGAACATGTGTAACACAAAGATGAATACCACTAGGGAATTGAAGTGGATTTAAATTCCATCCTTTTGCACCAAGTGCTTCTGATAATCTATAGATATGAAAGTCATTAGAACCTAATGCAATTACCGAAGTAATAGGTGAACCAAAAATAAAAATTCCATCCATTTGTCTTAATCTGTAAAGAATAAATATATATATATATATCATGATATAAAGAAAGAAACAATTCTATTTTGAAACATGCATAGTGTCTGTATTCGTACTTATTTTCAATGTATTTGCTAGTATCAATAATTTTTTTTGTTGCCTCCAAATATCCATCATAACCGAAATACATTAAAGTAGCCCAACATGATGCTATTATTCCACCAGATCTAGAACCATTTATAGTGGGTGAACCATAAATACCACCAGGCCAATCTGTTGTTATGGTATATTGATGATGTCTATATTTCTTGTTTCTGTAAAGTATGACTGAAGATCCTTTTGGTGCAAATCCATACTGTGAAATAAAATTTACAGAAATAATATGAAATTTATGAAAATTTTCTATTATAATGTACAATTAAAATACCTTATGCGTATCAGCAGATATGCTAGTTACACCAGGTAATCTAAAATCAAATGGTGGTAAATCGTATCCTGCTTGGGACATAAAACAAATAAGAAATCCACCTAAACAAGCATCTACGTGAACTGGTATATTATATTTTATGCCAAGCTCAGAAATAGCTTCTACGTTGTCCATTGTTCCATATGGAAAGTTAGGTACCGAAGATACCAACTAAAAAATAGATGTATAATATATATTTCTATTTTAATTTAAGCAATCTAGATATCATTTTAAGAATAATACAATCTTATTATACCATTATTGTGTTTTTATTTATAGCCCTTTCCATAGCTTTAATAGAAACTGTACAACTATGAGGATTGACAGGTATCGTGCATACTTTTATATTTAAGTATTGTGCAGCCTTATCAAATGCACTGTGTGCAGTAGCTGGCACTATCATTACTGGCTTTTTAATACCTTTCACTTCTCTGGCATAGTCTCGATAAGCTTTACACGCTAATATTATTGATTCCGTACCACCTGTGGTCATCTGAAATAATTCATTTCAAAATTACAATGATTTCTTCTATTTATTTCGATGAAGAATAATACATAAATTAAAACCTTACAGTTCCACATGAATTCTCATCGCCATTAAACAAACGACAAGATATTCTGATAACTTCTGCTTCCATTTTACACACACCAGGAAAAACATCAGGATGTAAAGGATTAGTATACGATGCGTAACCGTAAACTTCAGCCATTAAGCGTATGAGATTTTCATCATTTTTATAAACCGTACCCGATACTTTTCCATTTTTCCAATCGTAATCACCTTCAATGTAAATTACATTAATATTTCTCTCAATGATAAATGTTTTAATATATTTATTTAATTAAGTTTTGTTATTAATAATCTTACCCATTTGTACATATTCCTTTACTTGTTCTATTAATTCGTCATATTTCAGACCACTTTTAGGTAGTTCAACGACAAATGGAATATTCTTAAATTTACGCAATGCATCCTTCTCAAAATTATCATTAATACTTGACAGTTCTTTCTCAATCTTTTCTCTAACGGAAGGTATATAACGAGCTAATCTAAACAATTGTTTCTTCCCTCTAACAACAATTGCTGTAAATATATCAAATATAATATTAAGATTTTCTTTTGTTTTAATACATAGAATATACTGACATTGTAACTAACCATAAAAATCTTTGACATTTTGTATAATAATTATTTAATACAATCCTAAAAGCAAGTAATATGTCAAACTAATTAAAATCTGATTATTCTTACATTCATCTTGACAGAAGACAAAATTCCATATCCAAACAGTTCCAAGAACAGTGGTTGTAGTTACAGTAACTATTTGCCATGGTTCTTTATTTTGAAACAAATGATTAACAATTTCTTTCAAATTATCCATACAAGGAGGACCCATGTTATATCTAATAAATATAAATATATAATATTTAATTATTATAAATCTTATGTCTTTTTAGACATATGTCATTTATTAATGTATTATATTAGTACCTTGGTTTTTAAGAAATCCTTCAAAATGATTACTTCAACTGTCGTAAAAAGGAAAGAACTTATCAATTATTTTTTAAATGGTATGATAAAATAAAGTGACTTTCAAAAATGACGTTAACGTCTTATCTCTTTAAAAACTCCGTAGAACAATAAAAATACTTAAGTTTACTAGAAGTATATAATCTATTTTTGTACTTTGGAATCAGTCAATACCAAAATCTGTTTATAGGCATTATTAGTTACTCATACAATTTCTTCATAAAGTAACAAAGAAATTATTACAAAATCTAATCTTCTAATAAATGATATTATAATAAATAGAAAACTTCTAGACTATCACTACAATATTAGTAATAAACTAATTTAAACTACGATTTTAAACATTAATCATATTATTACATGTTTTACAATGAACAATAAAACAAAATGGAGCAGAAATATATAAATGTTAATTAATGAAAATATAATTATCTAGCCTAATTAAATTGATCGGCTCCTAGCGTGATTTTTGTCAAGTTTTATTCTGATTAAATTTTTGTTTACTCAAATGGTATGCGACTGCAGCGACAACTGCGGGAAAAATATCAATTATAAAAGAAACTCTCCTATATAGGTAGATAAAGTAGGGTATCACATTTACCTGTAATAGAATTAGATTTAAATAAATCAAAATATTAATGTTAAATAAGATAAGTTAACCTTTAATTCTATCTGCCTTCGTGTGTGTGTGTGTGAGCGGTTTTATAATAGTACCTGTAAAGAAAAATTAATATAAAATTAAATGAGAAAGAGTATATTTTGTAGTACTACAATTATTACCACTTCTAATGTTATTAATACAAATGATTAAATTAATAATAAGAATAAATAATTGTATGTAGTCAAAATAATAGTACATATAATAAACATATGTCTAACTATAATAAACTATATGTTCTAAACATAAAGAAAACGTATTTTCTAACCATCAATTGTTCATCATGTAAAATAGTCTGGGAGCTAGCAATGTCGGGAAAATAATAATTGTAGGTAAGCTGATTTTTTGATATGTCGTTCTTCTTAATCTTTCGGTTAGAGCCTGCACTACTTGGCTGGCCGTAGGTCTTGCGTTTACTAGTGCGCATCCTACCTGTACAGGTAATAATCCTAGATTTTAAAAGAATGTTGAGAAGCCTAATTTTCAATTTATTGACTTTAGATAGATTTATCAAACATAAATTTTTTATTGCCATGCACTTTTCGCATTGCTAAATATCTGCCATTTGCGATTTTTGATTTTTTTAAATAAAAAATTAAAAGTATCTTGGTATGCATGTAATTTTAATATTTTGTTATTTAAGTATACAGAAACCTAAAATTAATTTGCCAAGTGTTTATTCGCTTGTTAAACCTAGAATAAAAACGACTAACTTATGAAAAGTATTGCAGTATGATGCTGTAGCTGTTATGTTCCTTTGATCATTGAGATAGTTTAGGAATTTATGGCTCTTTGGAATTTCCTAATATCTAGGTAAACAATACCTTATATTTGCTGCCTATCGTATTTTATGATATTCTATTTCATAGGCTTATTGCAGGATCTGTTTCACAGAAATTGAATATTATAAAAAATAACAAATATAAAGTTTATCGTCTACAAAAGATTTGTGTGGTACTGAACACCATCTTGTAAAGTTGCCAGTTGCGTTACCGTGACTGTCTATCTCTCTTGCACTCTGAACTGTTTCCCTCTAACTACAGCGTCATAACTGCAATACTTTTCATAAGTTAGTCGTTTTTATTCTAGGTTTAACAAGCGAATAAACACTTGGCAAATTAATTTTAGGTTTCTGTATACTTAAATAACATAATATTAAAATTACATGCATACCAAGATACTTTTAATTTTTTATTTAAAAAAATCAAAAATCGCATGTGGCAGATATTTAGCAATGCGAAAAGTGCATGGCAATACAAAATTTATGTTTGATAAATCTATCTAAAGTTAATAAATAGAAAATTAGGCTTCTCAACATTCTTTTAAAATCTAGGATTATTACCTATACAGGTAAGATGCGCACTAGTAAACGCAAGACCTACGGCCAGCCAAGTAGTGCAGGCTCTAACCGAAAGATCAAGAAGAACGACATATCAAAAAATCAGCTTACCCACAATTATTATTTTCCCGACGTTGCTAGCTCCCGGAATAAAATTTTTTGAAGCGAAAACTTCTTTAGAATAGGGAGTGATTTGAAAAAAATAAAACACGGCGGCGAGGCAACGGAGCAGCGGGCGGCTATCTAACGGCCACGATATTTAGTAAGAAGAGAAAAAGGGACAAACATATAGAATTGAGCCTGCGAGAGAATAGGACAGAATATAGCTATACAGTTTTTCCTATTCTCGGTCTCCTCTTTATGCCATAACCACTTCGTAGTTATCGCTTCTGGTTGTATATGAGGGTGTTTGTGTGCGACTGCATACTACGAAGCGTGGACACATATTATTTCGATCCTATACCTGTTTGTAGGTAGGAACGATAGAAGGGTAAAAGAATAAACAGAGATAAGAACCTAGGTATTCGACAAAAGTATAAGGTCCAAACCAACCGACGGTCGAAATAAAGAAAGAAGGTGCGTGGTCTGTTTTTATTTTACCAAACGTGGTATTTCTTTTCTATTTAAAAATGTTTCTATTTTATTGAAAAATTAATATTAAATTCTTTATTTCGCAAATATTATAATTATTAATTATAAAATATATCGGATATAATAATTGTATTGTCAGCAATATTTAAAAAAAAAAATAAGATTACAAAATACATCAAAGAAAGAGAATTAGAAAACCTGTAGAATATTTTTCTTATAAATATCTAAAGACGCGTGTTTTTTAATTATTTAATTATAATGTTTGCGTATTTAGAAAATTTATACTAATTTTTCAATATAATAAAAAAGTTCTTAAATAGAAGAAACTGGACACACAAAACCTCAGAACATTTCGGAAAAAACCTTAGAACTTTTCGGAAAAAACCTCATTATCTCGTAAACTATAGACATTTCGATGACCTTCACTTAATACTTTTTAATGCAGAATAAAAAAAGGAATCGAATAGTGTAAAAAAAATATAAAGTTCTATTTAAAAAAAAAGTGCAACTGCATCTAGCGGTTGCATCGATGCATTTTCAAAAAAGGTAAGGTCATAAAAGGTTGACATTTGTTGTGCCATATAACTTTTTGCTTTATGATTTTTTTCTATTGTTACTTAAAAAAAAGTTATTACCCGCCTCCGTTCCAAAAATCACCCTGTATATTAAGGTGGGTCAAAAAAATGACTTTTTTTTTTTCAAGTGCCACGGAAAAATGGGTTGTTAGACACCTTAAAAGAATTCTCACCAAATATGAGCTCTTAATTTTAATAGGAAGATCCTCCGCATCGCAGTTTTTTATGTTTTTTTCAGTCCAATAGATTAAAATTCATACCTCAATATTTATTGATTTTACAGAAAAATGTTCAAGACGAATTTTTTTTGAAATTTAATGCTCTACAAAAAAGGTATCTTTTTAAACTTTCAGGTGTACTGATTTTTGTCTCTGAATATCTTTTGAACGCTTAATTTAATCGCCAAAAGATAAAACACCATTTTTATAGAGCAATTCATTTCCTACAAAAATTTGTATTGCGCATTTTATAATAGTTATTTATTGTCGAGTTATAAAATTCATAAACAAACATGAAATTTGTCTTAAAATAATCAAACTTAAATCTTTAATATCATTCAAATGGTGAGGTTTACGGAAAAAATATAAAATACCTTTTTTGTAGAGCATTAAATTTCCTACAAAATTCGTCTAGAACATTTTTCTGTACAATCAATAAATAATGAGGTATGAATTTTAATCTATTAGATTGAAAAAAAAATAAAAAACTGCGATGCGGAGGACCTTCCTATTAAAATTAAGAGCTCATATTTGGTGAGAATTGTTTTAAGGTGTCTAGCAACCCATTTTTCCGTGGCACTTGAAAAAAAAAAGTCATTTTTTTGACCCATCCTACTGTAAATATAAATGCATTTCTGAAGACACACATATAAACACTAAATATGAAATATATATATTTAAAAGTCCATAATAAATATAACATTGAATATTTGCACAGGTTTACAAAAGATTTTAAATATATTTGTTACTTAAATGTTTAATCTATTAACATATCTGTTTCAGATTTAAGACTTTAATGGATCTACTTGTTTTTTTTTTTATTTTTATAATATTTATGACAGGCATCTCAAAATGGTGTGATTTTATTTTGCTTGTTTCTATGATACGAGAAAAAAATGTAGGATATTCGAAAAATCATCGGTACAAAACTTGATGAGAAAAGGGGTGAATGAAAAAATTAGGCAAAAAATGATTTAAAAGTTTCAGCAAAATTGAAAGAAGTCGGGGTCAAAAGCGGTTAATTTAACGTGGAATGCCCCATATATACATATATGTATGTGATATGCTGATAAGTGTAGCTTTTCATGTGATAATATATTTTTTTCTACCGCTTATTGGAAACTTTGAAATACGCATATAAATCTTGTCTCCTCGATAATTAATATCTTCTCACCCTAGATTTTATTTATCGTATATTTATAATCATTAACTTTTCGTTAGAGACGTGTTTATAACAAAAGTATAAAAAAAAAAAAAAGAAAAATATACATTTTCTTTCTATAATAATATAAATAATATAACCCTCTCCTAACAGATATTCTTTTTTACTTATTACATATTGAACATTATTTTTGTCTTGTGTCAAAGACGTAATCATTAATTACGTCTTTGTGTCAGTGATTTGAAAAAATTGTCTTGTTGGTTTAGCTCTTCTTCTCATTGTTCCCAATATATTGAGCATTTCTGATACAGCCGGTGGAGCTGTTTCTGCCTCTTGTCGTCTTTTTCTTTCCTCTTCTCTTTGTTTCTACGAATAATCACATTTCGTATACGTCAATCATAATTCATAATAATCGCACCCACATCTTTATTGTTCTATAATTATTACTTACATCCGTTTGTTTCAATGTGAATCGACCGCCTTTTATTTGATTAATAATATCATCGATGACTGAAACATAAGAAAATAAAAAAGATAAATCAATGAAAGATAATAAAATAAATATAAGTATTATCAGAAAGTTATTTGTTCGTTTCCCTACCGGGTTGTTGAGTTACAGTTGAATTTTTCTTATGCATTCCAAGCATAGATTCCATATCGCTAACTGCATTACATTCAGAATGCAATTTTTCCTTCGTTAACAATTTGATAGTCGCATTACCAGTCGACGATATGGAAGGCAATGGTGGTGGTGGTGGAGGTGGAGGTGGAGGTGGCGGTAACAAAGAAGGCATAGGTCTAGCAAGTTTCTCTTCCAATTCAACTATTTTCTCTTGCATATTTCTAACAACATCTTCTAAATCGTAGACCGATCTTTCAGCTCGCTCAGCTCTCTTTCGTTCTACGTTTAATTCTGATTCGGCTAATTTTAATTTTTCTTCAACTATTTCAAATTCCACATTAGATTCCTTCTCCTCTAATTTTTCTTGAAGCATTTGAATGTGAGACGCATGATTCTGTTGTTCCTCCTCTAATAATCTTTTCAAGGATTCGACTTCTTGAAGGACACTTAGCAACCTTCCGTTTGGATCATCTCCAACCTCTGCCATTAAGAGAGCGCTTTGATGAGCCAAAACGTTACGTTCTTTTTGTGCCTAGATAGATCGATAACAAAAATTCTTATTTATTTTATTCATTTGTGAGATTTATTATGACTTTTAGCTTAAATAAATAAATGAATCGTTTTTTACCTTGTCTGCTTCCAATTTCATTATTTTAGCCGTTTCTCTCTCACGATCGCATTGTGTCTTCAATGCTTGAACCTCTTTTGCTACCATCTTTGTAACCCTTTCCATATTTTCTTTTTGCATTTTCATCTCATTTATTTTATCATCGGCTACGAATATACATGGAATTTTGTTTATTAAATTACATATTGTTAATTAATGAAATGATTGATAATACAGTACCTTTCTGTCTGAGCGTTCTTTCCTCTTCCAACTGAGTCGTCAAGAGTGTTATTTGTTCTTGAGCTTCAAATTCCTGCAATCGTGCTGAATTTAAATCTGTCTGAAGTTTTGCTATCTCTTGACTGAGTTCTAAAAACATAATTATTCCCATTGAAAAATATCTAACTGTTGATATTTTCTTTTTATTGTTTTTTCATTACCTCTGACCGTTTCTCTAAGTTGATCTAAATCTTCGAAATTAGAATCAACTTCGTCGGAAATATCGAGATCGACCGATCCTCCTGGATGAATTTGCAAATATTTTTGCGCTATCATTTGAGATTTTCGTTTCAATTCTCGATTTTGTTTATACCACTGAAAATGAATTTTATAAATATATTTAATTTCATTATTATATTTTAAATAATTAATTTACATTGAAAAAACTACAAGCTTACTTCCGACGCTTGTTGCATAGCTTTGTGCATTGCACCTGTTTCAACGTCATACTGACGTTTTAATTGTTCGTATTCCTTACATACTGCTTCGGATACTAAAAAAAAAAACAAAAGAAAAACATTGTTTTTGTTTTTTTTGTTTTTTTTTTGTTTTTCTTAATTAACTATATTAAATATTCAAAATCGTTGTAAAAATATTACCTGTACGTAATTTATTTAACTTTTCTTCTTTCTCTTGTGCTTGCAATTGCAAAGTACTATTTTGCCTTTGCAATTGTTGCAACTTTTTTTCCAAATCTGCATGTTCCTTGTTTGCTGTAACAATTATTTAATTATAAATAAAATAATAAAATCATAAGATTCATTGAAATGTTATTGAAAAAAGTTTGATCACATTTCGAGTGATATATAGGGAATGATCTATAGATACGATCTAGGAAACCGATTGACATGCAAAACCATCTTGGATATATTTATATTTATTAATTTTCAATCCGATCACGTTTTAAAGGCGTGTGACTAATAAAACATTATTGGCTTTGAATTGAAGAGTGCAAGAGTGAATCACAACGGACGATACCACACGATACCACATGATAGCACACTTTTATATACAATATACACTGTAGCAGTTTAACCGTGAACTATAATCATGATCAAATGCAATGTCGTTTGCAAATATAATACGTAAGAAACCAATATTTAATTGAATTCCGAATGACGTGATTTCTTTGCCTCTTGGGACGACCTTATATTAGTCATAACGCCATATATAAATATACAAATAATAAAAATAATAAAAATAAATGCTCAACCAACCAATCTCGGTTTTTTGAAGTAACAATTTTCTCCTTTTTTCTGATTCCTCGTATTTACTTTTCCATTTGTTTTCGAGGAAACAATTGTTGTTGGTATTACTATTACCATTGCCATTTAATTTAGGAAATATAAAATCGGTTTTTTTCAACGTATTGATATTGGATTTATCATCGACATTTCGCATTTCTATGCTAGACGTCGACAAGGTGTTATGCTTAGATCTGAGTTGTACCGAAGAAGCATCGAGTCTTTCAAAATTAGCTTTTTGTGCAGCTACAGAAGTTGTTCTACCAAGTTTTTCGAAAGAACCTCTTCTTATTGGTAAACATCTTTCTTGAGGTTTTATTTGAGGATTAGTTATCCTTGGTACAGGAATATGAGAATGAATCACGTTAGTTGCTGTTATTGTTGTTGTTGTTGTTGTTGTTGTCCTCGGTGGTTCCGTGCTAAGGACTATGTTCAATTCTGTCTTGTTCATGATCGCTACTTTCAAACAAAAAACATCATTCAAATTAATATTATCTTTTTATATGTATTTAGAAAAATAAGATAAGGAAAATTAGTTCCAAGTCGTAATATCGAGTCCAAGCAAAAGTGCATGACCGCTAAAGTGTTAATAACATTTGTGTTTTCTAAAAATATACATTCATATATATATACATAATATGTATATATATGTGTATACATATCAAGCGCACCCCCGTGTTTCAACCAAGTTGAAAATAGCAGCACTGTCAAAAGCACTTCTCGTGACTAATCTCGATTCCACAACTGCTAATATATATATTGAGATAAGAAGACAACATTTCCTCGTAGATAAAACATTTGTAGAAGAATCCTAATTGATAAGATTCATGTGTTATTTTACGTTAGTCATAAAGTCTTCTTTTTGTTATGTTTTTCTTTTTTTTTTTTTTTTTTTTTTTAACATCTTCTCTTAGTCAAACGCTTGAATTTTTCAAAAAAAAAAATTTGATGAAAATATTCATTGTAATTTAGAAAATTTGAAAAAAAAACCAAAATATTATGTAAAAAAAGCACGTGTTATTTTACTAGAGACGAGAACCAAATGATAATCATCATCATCATCTCCCACAGACCTTTTAACGTTAATTCGTTGGAATTCATGCGTCACTATTCCAGTATATATATATATATATATGCGTGTATATGTGTATACACGTTGCATACGCGTTCATTATAACGGAACAGAAGAGACGTCATTCGGGAAACATCGACGTCTCGAGGACTCGTTAACATTTAAGGGTTTAAATATAAGATTCAACCATCAATAATAATAATAATAATAATAATAATAATCCTTCATTTCTCTCCCCATTTCTCATAATAATTACTTTCTCAAAATGTAACTTTGAAGATATTCCCAATGATAAAATATTGAAAACAAAGATAAGGGAAATTGTTAAAATTGGAAAGTAAAATGTTGCTTTCTACATGACAGTTTTTAAAGAGATATTACTCACTAAACCGGTAATTATCTTGAAACAATAGGTCTGTCTCGCATCCTACACGTTTTTAAAATCTCAAATCTACATATGTATGTATATAATAAATATACATGGATTAAATGAGTCATTATTATCTTTGGAATTTTTATGATTTTAAAGAAATCTGTATTGGTAGGTATATATAAACAAACAAAAATATTAGTTTATATAAGAAATGACAAGATAAACTAATTCGAAATTGTTAAAATTATATTTTATTCTATTTCGTTGTGCAATGTAGCTTTGTCTTTACACTATACTAATCGATCGTCCTACTTCATATTATTTTTTTTCCTTGGAACTATGCCATTATATATATATATATATATATATATGATACTTCAAACGAATATATAGGAAGAATAAATAAAAAGAAAGTAATTAAATTCTTATTATTATTATTATTATTATTATTGTTATATTTGTTTTTTCATAACTTATATTTTATTTCTATTGTTATAAAATCATAGTTAAAGGATATGAGAACTCGCTTGTTGGTAGAATAAAGATAAAATCTACATCATATATTGGCGTTTAAAGTCAAGAATCTATTATATACTTCCTTTCACTTTCTCTATTTTCCGTTATTAGACGATTAAAGATTTAGCGATCGGCACATATCGTGAAATTCCGCCATTTTTCGTCTTTCGGATTTATTTAAAAGAAAATAATATACGTGAGGTAATGTTTATTGTATATGGTTTGTTTTTTTAAATAACTATGTTTCATTTTATTACGATATTAATATTATTAATATAATAATTATAACACACAATTACATGCAATTACTATTTGCATAATTAGAATTTATATATTATACGCGATTATTATTATTATATATATATATATATTTAGTAATTCATAATTACAATTAACTGAGTTTAATTATCGATACAAAAAAAAAGGAAAAGCTAAGAATACCGATAAATAATATGTACGCAATCAAAAAAGAAAAAAAAACAAACAAAAATATAACAAAATGTTGAAATTTCGTTATCGAAAATAAAACAAATCAAGTTTATCGTTAATTGACTTAAAAGCAAAGAAGATAAAAGTAACAAAAAAAAAAGAAAAAGTAATTCTGTGAACAATTAAAGGCATTATAATTTAAAAATGCGTTTTTAATCGCATATGTTTATACTCACGATCGTCTGACGCATCGCTTCTCTGCAAAATAGGGAAAAGAAAAAAAAAAGGAAAATTAGGGAAGAAGAAGAAGAAGAATATGAGAAGAAAATAACAGAAATCTTGAAGTGTTGCTCCTTCTCAATCACGTTGATAATAATCTCACACGAATTTTATTCCTTTTGTTGTTGTTGTTAAGATAATCCTATTAACTTGCACACCGATATTTCAAAAAAGAAAAAATAATAATAATAATAATAATATTCTAAAAAATTTACACTTTTGCGATAACTTGTAAGAAAAAATAAAAAACAAAACAAAAAGATTTTGTTTTTTATTATTGTTATGTATTTCTCTTGATCGTTCTCCAAAGAAGTAGCAAAGAGTTGCGTGCGTTTCGAATGACGTTCGAACTCGTACTGCGTGTTCTCTGTTAATTTCACATTGTCCGAGGGCGTTCCAGCCGACGACGACGACGACGACGACGACGACAACGACGGCGACGATGACGACGGCGACGACGTTGAGAATGCATTCTTTTAAAACTAATGCTACCGAGTTTTTCTTTCTCTCTCATTCTCATTTATTCTTTCGTTTATTTTCTTTGTCACTCCAGTAAATGTTGTTCTCTTTTTCATTTTCATTCATTCATTATCTCTTTCTTTCTCTTTCACTTTCGTGTACTCTCACTTTCGTACATTTTCATCCTTTATCTCTGCTTTATCTCCTTATAGATAATGAAGGTTCATCATTATCTGTGAAGGATAAAAGAATATTTATCATAGGCCGAAAGAAATACGTAATTTAAGAAGAAAAATAGGTAGAAGAGGGTAAGAAATCTATTCGTAGAAAGGAAGACTGTTTTAATCGAAATTGATTCTTATTAAGTTCAAGCGAATTTAAACACGGCGATAGAGTCAGCATGTTTTTCGTGGTAAAGCAAAGAAGTAGACAAAGAGAGTTAGTTGCTTGGATGATTATTCAGAACTTTGTGACTCAAGTGTCGAACACCAGTATATAGAAACGTTGATCTTTATACATCCTTCTTCTCTGTCCCCTCTTTACTCCTCTTCCTTCTTTTAAAAGTGATCGCAAGTAACCTTGAACCATCATACATGAGAGACAAGGATTCAATTTTTATGAATTATAGTTGCTGATTGATTTCTATTAATCAATCGATATTAGAAAATAGTACGATTCTTGTTCTGAAGTGAGGTAAAGAATTTGACCAAAAATTTTTCATGGACATTTAATTTTCATATCTTTTGATAATATTTTGTCTCTTTGTCATACGATTTCAGGTAACCTCGAAGTATTATATAATTTTTTAATGAATTATAACTACGACATTGATTTTTATATTCTTTTCTTATTTCTTTCTTTAGATATGATTCATGTGACCCTGACCCATTGTACATAAAAGACGAAATGAATTTTTAGTGAATTATAATTGTTTAACTTCTACTTTATTTTTTTTTTTATTTCTATTTTTAGATAAATTACTATTTATTTTAATTTCATTTTTAACACTTTTGTCTTATTTTCTTTTAATTGGTGTCTCTAATGTCAATGTTGTTAAATGCAACAGTGATAGGAAAGTTCTCGTGATTATTGCTTTTAAATGTGTACAAATAATATGAGTCACACACACACACACACACACACAGATATATATATATAAGTATAAGAGACACAGCAAAGTATTAGAACGGGCAACGACTGGTAGGTTAACGACGTATCTTGCGACATTGTATATCATTTTTACCTTCTCTATCAGTTCTTATCTTCTATTCAATAACACTTGACATAATACGTATGCATACTTAAATTTATTATCTTATAATATTAATTAACTCGTTATTATAATATTACTAATTAAACTATTTTGTATCGATTTAATTATATGTGTATACTAAAAGTATTAAATAATACTTTTTTATATTTCTTCTTGTTTTCAATCAAATATTTCATATGAATTTTTATAATTTTAATTAAAGACTATAAAAATAAAAATCTAATGTTTTATTCTTATTGTTACGAAATATGTCAAATTGAAATGATATATGTATTATACAAATTAATTTCATTTTTGATCATTGTTTTTTTTTTCTTCTTTTATTTTCCTTTTATATAAAGGAATTTACGAAAGTTGTTACGCGAATAAAAAACTGATTTACAAATTGTAAAATTCTTTTCTTTAATAAACAATAAAACAAGAATATCAAAGTTACACTTGTGTATACAACACACTTACATGTGTATTTTTATACATTCGTATATATAAGTTCTCGAAAGGAGGCAAGTGTGTTACAAACTGTTGACCGGTGAGGTAAACTCATGCTTTGTTTACTTATCACACTCCTTGGAAACGAGAAACATTTTCAAGAACGTTATTCTTTCTCAGCAGTTTTTTTCTTTTTTTAAATCTTTTTAAATAACGTAGAAATGATTACTTTCCAAGTTTATTCAATTTAAGCGTCGTTAACGTTTCAAACATTGCAACCAAAATGGCGGACATGTTAGGAAAAAAAATCACTCTTTTTTATTTCTCCTTTTTTTTTTCAATTAAAAAATAACAAACAAATTAAAAGAAAAAGAAAACATGTGTGCACATATCGCACAAGTTAGAAGTGAAACCTTCAAATAAGCAAATTTCGAGTATAATTTATTATATAATATTATTATAATATTATTTGTACTTTTAATTTGTAATTATTTATTTAATTATTAATTTAATTATAAAAATGCGCGCTGTTCGTATGTAATTTTGAAAATGTTGCTTGCGAGCGCCATCTACTGAGACGGAATTTTTTGCAATCAAAACTGTTTATACACGTATGTATGACGGGTTGCCTATCTTTCGGGCAGAAAAAAATTCCGTCCCGACAGATGGCACTCGCAAGCAACATTTTCAAAGTATGTTTGGAGAGTTGCATTCATACAGGCGCGCATTTTTATAATAATTACAAAGAAAGTAAATAATAAAACACTTTAAGAAATGTTTGCAAAGCAAATATTTTTATAAATAATGATAAAAATTAAACTCTAATATTGTAATTAATTTATTCATATTTTTAGAATAATATTTAGTATTTTATATGAAAGTAAAAATAAAACATCATGTGTGCTGATCACACAACATACACATATATAACCGGGAGCGATTAAGGGTTCATTCTGGTTTATAATTTTGAAAAAATTAATTTTTTTTTTGCATTTTTCGAAAGTAGACTTATGTAGAATTATCATACAAAAATTTTAGAACGATCCGAGCAGTCTAAGTATATTATTTTGCGACCCAAACACATAGAGATATTCCAGATAGAGGAGACAAACCATCTGCGATGGTGTAAGTGGAAATGTCTCTGCATGAATATAGCAGCAAAAAACAAAAGGTTGATATTGACCTGACAAAAMCAGAATTACTWGAAARATGTTTARRTGGCCTCACATTTAAAATAATAATGAGTGCTTCAACAAATGCGTTTGGGCTATGGTGCATAAACACCTATTTAATGGTAAAAAAATTGTTGAAATAGCTTTTAAATTGGCAGCTTGTATATTCAACGAAGGTTTTGATCCAATACTGAAAATAATGCACGTTTTGGTGATAAAACTTGGCCCTATTGCAGTCAATTACGCTAGTAACCGCGGCAATACGCGCGTGCGCTCAGCCAATTGTTTAAGCGGAGAAGCTTTGATAGAGGCCAGGACACAACAAAAAAAGGCTAGAGTGGAAGAAAATGAGTATTTTGAAGAAGCAGAAGGCATACT